TTCAGATAAAAATAAAATATTTGCAATTGTGAGAGGGTTAGAAAAATCCGTAGATGGGCCGCGATCGTCGAGCTGTCACCTTAAGAAATGACATCGTGGAGGATGCGACTGTCAGCCACGAAATCCGTGAGCGCCTTCTCGGATCAATCGGTACGTGCCAGAGGGTGTGCACTTGGACTCGAGAGCTTGATGCTGCCTCGAGGGCAGTAATATACACTGACTGCGACGTAAAAGCATGAAGCCCCACCAACAAGGGTTACACGTATCTTGGAGATCATACTAAGCGTAAAAGAAATGAATTGCTCGACCACCATCGCAGCCTTTCGCAAGGTGTATCCGACTGATGGACTCTTATCACTATTGCGTCTACTGCCGAGCACCAGGACCCACGATGAGCGAATTCTTTTGGTATGTCAGATTCGGGAATGAAGTTGAGCCGCTTATATATACGAAGGACCCGAAGTAAGCTACCTAACCTAAAAGGTATAAAGAACTCGCCTGCTGGGTACTCGAAAGTCCACTCAGCAGGACCAGGCTCATTATATCACGAAAACATTCACCACAACAGCCATACCCGGATAGGCAAGTATGAGCGTTGCAGGATTACTATTTTAGGAATGTGCCTTACATTGTTTTAAGTGCTAAGGTCTTCTTAGACTGATTACATTCCGCGTCGGGTGTAACCGAAAGTGTATTCTGAACAGTGTAATAGATGGCGCTTCCTTATAGATGTGCATATAAACTGCAGTTGAGTGAGAATATACTTGGTGGCGCTGTACCGCTTCTCTCTGATAGGCTGCTGTGCGGCTGTTCTTGGATACCTCTCTAAGTCTCCAGGATTGTTGCCGTACGTGTCCAAGTGTCGGATTGTTGTTGGGACATGGACGAAGAGGCGTGGAGGGCTGTGCCGGCCAGTGCTCATCGCCTTGCAGACAGACAGACAGACAGACAGACAGACAGACAGACAGACAGACAGACAGACAGACATACAGACAGACAGACAGACAGACGAACGAACGAACGAACGAACGATCGAACGAACGATAGAACGAACAATCGAACGCACACATGGGCAGACGGTCGCATGCACGGAAAGACAGACAGATGGACGGACGGATGCTTCGCCCCCCTTATCATCAATCACTCCGTGGATATGCTGTAATTTTTCATTAGTGTTTGGATCAGGATGGCCAACAGAGCTTTTAATGAACTAAGTCTTATTTCCCTATCAAGTCATTTATACAAATGTGCAACCACTCGTAACATTTTCGGACATACTTGAATTTTCACAGTACCGAACAAAGGTATCCATTAGGTAGTAGGTTTTTTATATCTTCACCGATTTCCTGACGAAACGTTTTATAATATGCAGCTTTACAAAACCTTTCTAGAATACCAGATATATACTTTGCGACAGCTTAGGGCACACCTTACAGATAACACGTAGCTGACGTTTTTTATGTTTATTGGGGAGGTGTTAAAAGAGGCGCAAAATGGTGTTTCTACATTTTGCCGTGTTGGCGTGCAACGCACTTTCCGGGTAAAATGACGTTTTTAATCAATAACTTTCAATAGCTGGCGCACATGATCCTGAAGATGACCTGCACTGTGGGATCTCTGAAAATTTGAAGCAGATTGAGCAATGTCTTCCTCGCAAACCAGCGTGTTATTTTACGTGTTACTATATGATCACGTTAGGCTTTGATGTTCTGTGTTTAGTTCAACTCCGTTACATTGTTTTACAGTTCCTATAGGGTGGTTCCATGGCACTCATGCGGCAATTTACTGTGCGGCCAGGTTTGCTACAAAGAATATAGCTAGAATACTCCCGGAGAACGACAATATATATTGACTATCTATATTTACTGGCTATCTGAGGCTACCGCCTAGTTAGATGACGATGTCGCTGGTGACGATTTCGGTTTTTCCATGGGAACTTTAAGTAAAATAAAGAATAACTCTAGGATTTTAAAATCACCAAAGCACGATATGATTATGAGGGACGTTATAGTGAAGGGCTTTAGAAGTTTTGCTCTCGGGCGTTCTGTGCACCTCAATTGCAGAGAGCCTTATAGGCACCTTGGAGCAGGCGCTAAACATGTGCTTGCAGACGGCCGTCACTATGGTGGATGCGATTGTGACGAATATGAAGCAGAGTATAAAGAACGAGGCGAGGGATCACCAATCCGAATATCTGGGCAGGTGTAGGAGATGAAAGGCCATTTGCGAAGCTACCTTCAAGTGCGCAGTGGAAGACAAAAGTTCATCGCTCTAATGTAGTTAGCAGATATAACCGCTTCACGGAAGTACTGATCAGGTGGTTGCTAACCCAGGTACCTTCTGAATTGTAACAATAAAGAAAGGAACCTACTGGATTGCAGTTCATCGAAAAAAGGGGTTTGAGCGACATTCACTTTGTGAGGTAGCCATAAGCAACGTGTGGTGCTTTTTCGCAGCACATAATCCAACATAACTGAAATTGAATTCCGGATATAAATCCCTCAAAGATACCAGATAAGATGGGATAACAAGCGAAAAGGAACTGGCCGTCAAGCAACGTCAATGCATAATGAAAGTCTGTTTTGTGGTGCAAATCAGGAATGAGAAAGAAGTCTACTTCATTTGAACTGTGCCTAACGGCAAAAGGCGCAGGTGCAATGGAAATAACTACAGCAGCATGGTGACTACACCGCAGAGTACCTGCGACGTCGACCTATGCATCAAAGGCAACATAACATTTCCAACTGGGTACCCAACCCATCCCTACATTTATTTTTTGCTATGTATCAAGGCCCTAAATATATTTAACGTTTTTTTTTTTTCATTTTCGCGGTAGTCTTAGAGTTCAGCGTGACGGGCCATGTCCCGTCAAGTAAAAGCTCGTTAACAAGAAAATTTTCAGTGTTACCTGTGCAGACACAAATACGATAAGAATTGCATCTATTTCCAGGACACTCTTAAAAAACCGGTACCTATTGGGTAATTGGGGGAATGGAATTAAGAGCTCGCTGAATTCTGGTGTCTGCGTTTGAGTCATTGGTTGTAGGCGCAAAACCACTAAGTTTTCAGTCGGCTGCCAAGTCGAGAAACACCAACATGAAATGATCAATAAGTACGCCATATCCCGCTAAAGGGACATATGGGTAGATGGGAAGCAGCGGGCACAAACGCTTACACTGGAAGTGACGTTAACGCTGGCGCTCATCACGGCGTTGCGCAGAAGAAAAACCTGGGGAGGCCCAAAGTACGCAGGAATTAATCGGTTTGTCCTACTGCAACATGGCAATCGCTGCTAATGTTGAGCAGTGAGAGACAGAAGACTCCTACTGGGCACAGAGATCTGCAGTCCACATTTAGTTAACGCGCAGGTTGCGAATTTTTATTGTTCATCCACGCACAGAAGAAATCTGCGACCAGCAGTACTTTGCAGTTCCCGATTCATGGGCCAATGAACGGTTGTGCAGCGTGAACTCCATGCCTGCCGCAATATCGAGCAGGGTTACGTTCTCTACTTAGCGTACAAACTGTTTGCAGAACACCCAGTACCTGGTACCCCGGCACACAGAATTGTCATTTGAGCTCCATCTCTTAAGTTTCTCGGTGGTAATGAGTCAGCCGATGCCGCTGCCAGCGCGCTCACTCTCCGAGCACCATCGTTGGCCCCTTTCGATTCGGCCAGAGTTCAGGTACTGTTTATATAAGGGTGGTTTAGCATTTTTAGGAGAAATAATGAAAGTAGTTTACGACAGTGCGACTATTTTTTAGCTCATCCCGAATATAGGTGCATCCTAAGAAAGTTATGTACTGGCTGGCAGCCGGATGCTATGTAATAACCCTTTTAGTAGCCTTCAGTGAGGTGCAGTTTGTCAACGCCTTTGAAATGTTCTCTTTTCTTATTTGGGATTTTTCTAAGCTAGTGCTGCGTCTATGTTGTGGTTACATCAATATATGCGAAGGGGGGATGGTAACAACTTTATAAACAACTCCAGCTAACTCATGGCCTGGGCCTAGGCCTCCCCCAACGCGGAATGAACACCGTCTCCTAGCCACCTCATGTGCTTGCTGGATGGCCCACGGTGGATCTTGAAGGTTGGAGCTACGCTACATAGCCGTTCAATGTGCCGCAGCCTCATATAAGGAGACTGCATTTTCTTCTGAAACAAAACAAAAATAGCGGAGCATATGCACCAGTGGTTATGCGCCTGTAAAAAAAGATGCAACAAGACGAGCGCTACAATAGTGCGAGAACCTGTTCGTTTTTGCCATCTTTGTCTCTTGCTACTGTTCCGTGTAATCCTTCCCTGCGACCTCATAACGTATAAAGCTCATCCTAAAAATAAAAATGACCGGATGACAGGCTAACTCTTATAGTAATCTTATCTCGTTTCTATGTTTTGTCTTTTCTTTCCCTCTCTCTCATTGTAACATCTTAACGTTTCTTCGCTATCATTTTTTATTTCCCCTACTCCCTTCCCCAGCACAGGGTAGCCACCTGGTCTAAGAACTGTCTAACGTCCCTGTCCCTGTTCTTCCACCTATTTCGTTCCTTTGTTCCTTTTTTTCCCTACCAATGAATCTGGGCACGCATAAAATCTGGCAATGAGACGCCCCTGAATTCCGAACGCCAAAATGCCACATATTTATTTAATGCGTACTTTGCTTACTCGAAATGCTCTTTGCTGGTCTTAGCGAGGCGCTGCATGAGATAATGAAGAATTGCATCACAAACTGGTGCGTAAATTTCTTGCCACTCACGGACAATGGGCGATGGTAAAAATATCGGTTTGTCTAGCAAATGGCGTAAATTCTAGCACCAAAAGAACGAACTCCTAAAGCAGAACGAACAAGTTGTTATGTGCTTGGCTAATTATGCATTGCTTGCTGGTCTAGTTTATCACTAGGGGCTCAAAATTCCCCGTTTAGAAAACTGCTTAAAGTGTACCACAAATATTGTAATGAGCTCTATGTATGGTTCACTTTTTTTGTATGGGCTCCAACAGTTTGGCTATTGCAGAAGTGGCGTGTGCTTGCCAGCAGAAGATCAGGCTCTGAAAAGACAGAAACGATCCATGCTCCTAACTATGGGGGCTATCGCTCTTGCAAAGAAGATTGCGCAACGTTTAAGAGAACAAAGACAAAAATCAGAGCAATAAAAGTGTTATCAAAGACAACAATGTAGAATTGTGTGCGATATTTGAAATTATACTGTCAAAACAAAAGGCAACACTTAGAACACAGCGCAGTGGCATTAGTTTTTACATACGTTTGTAAGGCGTGATCTTGTTTGGTATAAGCTACGACGTGTTGCCGAAGCGGCAAACATGAAAAATAAAGAAATCATCCACATTGATGAAGAATGTGCCCACTGAAGTAAATTGTTGCCTTGAAAAGAGACACATCAAAGGTGTCTGGTAGAATAGAAGCTACACTCATGCAGTTGGGGGGGGGGGAAATGAATTGATGACAACAAATGTGATTATGATAGCAGACACCAGCATAGAAAACAGATCAATATTCAATGACTGCCAAAGTGTTTACCGAGCGCAAAGTGTGAGATAGAATTATGCCGGTAAAGAATTGGTGTAACAGGTAAGTAAAACCTGTCCAAACATAAATAGTAGACTGCTTGCAGTCAGTGGTGAAAATACCTTGCACAATGTTGATTGGTGTTTCAAGATGCATGCACTCACGTGCACCATTGGTGGTACATCTTCATATCAACGACTAACGCCTATAAGTACTGATTAAACGAACGAAACAAGGTCTCGTGGTTGCTATAGTACACCCTTAACCACGTAACCACCAGTAGAAGCATAAATTTTGAGATTTGTATCTGTCTAATTTAAATGATATGGTTTACCTTTTAATATGGTAACTTCTATACTATAGGTCAAGGTATTTTTCTAAGTCACGGAGAAAGCTTTAAATTGAAAAGTAACTAGCAACCTCTAATATTGTAACTTTTATCTTATGTATAGCGTGTTTGGGTCCGTTTAGGTATTAGATAAACTTATGAACTGGAAGGTTACCCTGTAAACCTTCAAAAGCTACTTTTATGACAAATACAGCAGGCCACTTTATTGAACTAACCTTATACATTCTCTGCATTCCTCGTACAAGACTCTTTCGTTAGGAAAAAAAGAGAGCATCACACAGGACATGCAGACGTTGTAGATTCATATCCCTTTCATTCAGGAAACTGCATTTTCCTTTCATTCACCTGAAAAATAGAAGTGCCCTGAAAGAAAGACAGGCCTATCGGCTTACTAGGCTTTGTAGCTTAGTGGGGAAAAAACTTTCTAAACAATAATTGTTTATAAAGCCCGTGTGTACCTGGTAGTTTCTCTGAGAAATATGTGAATTTATTCAGCATAAGCAAATTCTAAATCCGAAAACTTCAAGCTGGAGCACAGGGTTTTACATTCATCCGGATTCAAAGAAAATAAACCAATAAGTAAGGGAAACAAAAAGCATGAAGAACTTTTTTCAAAGTAGAAACAAATGTACGGTAATTAGGCTATGTGCAACTGCAAAGTTTTTTTTTTGTGAAAAATATTTATATCGGAACTTCTGAACATCTGCTCATGGGTGATTCCATGAGAGATCGATCAGGGTCCAAAAGTTGATATTTTAGATTTCATTGAGTATTTCATATTTCGTGCACCTTTCACCAGGTAGCCCGAAAGTCAACTTCGTTTTATGATTAACGGCATAACTTACGAGAAAAAAAATATAAAACTTCACCAACCTGGAGACACCAATTTCATCACCTGTCATTTTCGAAAATGGCAGATGCTATCAAAAGAGAAATATTTTTGTTTCAAGGAAGATAATTTTTTACCTGAAATGCATGTTTAATGAAGAAGGAATTCATACGGTTTCAAGTTTGTAGACCTTAAAAAATAGCTTTTAAAAACTTGTAATTTTGCGACAGTTTAAAATAAGTTACGTACTCCCCATTTTTTTTTCTCCGAAAGTAATGCAAACAGCGTTTTCAAACTTAACACGTCTTAAGAATATAGCGTGTTCATCAGGTACGTAAATTATTGCTGCCGTTGGGCAAATGTAAATTTTTATATATTGTCCCGAAATCCTCATATTGGCAAAATTGTACTCCACTGAAATTTGAACAATAAAAAAACCCCCATCTTTGATTTTTTGAAAATCTCGTAAATAGACAACCGAAGGCCATCATAAAGTAATATAGAAAAACATGTTGCATTATTATGTTTTTAGCGACAATATTTGTGGTACAAATCAGAGCTTTTCGAGAATGCGTTGATAAGTTGAGAAATCTCGAAATCGGAATAGAAAAGCGGCAATGAGCTTCAAACGTGAGTAAACGTGACCGCATTTGGTGCAGAAAGGCTGTTTTAGCAGATAGGAGTAACTATTTTGAACACGATATTCTACAGTATCTGAATTCACTCTTATACATAGAGCACTGAGACTTCTCATATGTGGTGCCTCTCCATTACTGACGCACAGATGGAGCTGCTGTGACAGCCATTTATTTGCAACACGTTGGGTAAGGGAACTGAATGTTGAATGAGTTCATTAACGATTCATAACAAATTTTTATCATTTGGGGCACGAAGACTGCCGCAGTACACTGAAGAACACGCTTTAGGGCAAGTTGTCATCCGTTGTCTGCTCTACAGATGAATTGCTGTGTGCCGCATCTCGGAGGCAATGCTTTAGATCATATGGTTCAAAGTAGGGACAAAGATTGCGCCTCCCGTAATTTTATTGACAAAAGCATTGTGAAATTCATTTTAACGTACTATACTTCAGTTTTGCATTCGCACTGTGGATACTTGTGCGCAAGTATCCACAGGTGTGCGCTACGCCGAGACGGCATCTGTCACTACCGGTTCAGCTTCTGAAATTGCATATTCATCCTCCGAGCCATTATACTGCGTCATGGTGCTCCAAGTGTATTTCTCAGTGACCATGGAAGGGCCTTCCTTTCACAACTAGTGAACGAACTTCTTCGCGCTTCTGGCACAACTCACAAGTCTGCCTCTAGTTATCATCACCAAACTAACGGCCTCACTGAGCTATTCCACCGCACTCTTGCTGACATGATCTCCGCCTACATTCAACCAGACCACAAGAACTGGGATGTAGTTCTACCATTCGTCACTTTCGCCTACAATACGGCTATTCACCGGACAACCGGCTACTCACCATTTTACCTTGCTTATGGACGCTTCCCTACTTCTTTCCTGGACGTCTCTCTCTTTACCTGCCACGCGGATTCATCTCCATCCTGTTCAGAGGAATACGTTTTACGGCTCGCAGAAAGCCGTCAACGTGCTCGTATAAACACTGAAGCCTGACAGCAAGACAGAAAGCTGGTTTATGATAAATCGCATCGTGCTGTATCCTTTCAACATGGAGATGATGTGCACCTTTTGACGCCTATTCGCACACCTGGTTTGTGCGACAAATTCCAGCCACAGTTTATCGAGCCGTACACAGTTCTTGAAGAAACTTCACCAGTGAATTATCGCGTGACGCCTCTTGTAGCCCCAGCAGATCGCCGTTATCGAACTACTGAGGTCGTCCATGTCTCCCGTATGAAGCCCTTCATGCGACGTTCTTTGTCCTCTTTACTTGCCGCGGCCAGGCTGGGCGCTTTCACGGGAGGGGGGGGGAATTAGTGTGGGCATTTAGTATACCAATCCTCTTCATCTGTACATTACCATCAGTATCATGTGTTGCTCATGCATTCTCATCGTTGCCACATAGCATCATCATCTTGGTTCGTTCAACTCAGCTGTCGGCTGCCAGTTCCTCGGGCCTAACAAAGGTCTTCCAATATATATATATATATATATATATATATATATATATATATATATATATATATATATATATATATATATATATATATATATATATATATATATATATATATTTCTATTTATATATGTGTTTGACGAACCACACAAGAACGGTGTGGTGGAATGGTAGATAAGGAGGAAGACGAAGACAAATAAATGGTTCATCGTACAGCCATCACGCCTCCTGCGTCACACTAGTCGACAGGATCTACCGTGCCCTTCATCATGGCCACATCCAAGAAAGTCATCAACATTCCGGAGTACTCGGGAGCATCTACGGACGTCCCCTTTGACAAGTGGCTCCGACTCTTTGAGGTGAGGACTGCGGCCGCAGCATGGACGGAGCGAGACAAGCTGTGCTACTTCTCCGATTACCTTGAAGGTGAAGCTTTCCGATGGTTTCTCACCGAGGTTTTCGACACAGACGCGTCTTGGGAGAGCTTATGTGAACGCATGAAGGGACGCTTTACGAGCGGCGTCGCGGATGCTTTTTGCCAATTCATTCATTGCTGGTTGCGAACAGGCCAGAGCTTGAAGGAATACTATAATGAAAAATGTCTCTTGGACGCCTCGCCGACCTAAAGGAGACGCACCTTATATCAGGGCTCATCGACGGCCTTCCTGCGCATATGGAGATGGCGCTTGCTGGGCTTACCTCGTCTACACCAGAGGCATGGCTTACAGCTGCACTTCGTGTAGAGTCAACCATGCTCAGAATGAAGTTACATCGCTTTCCACCAGCTCGGAATACACAGATTAACGTAACAAGTGACAGAACTAGACAGCGTCCACGTAATTCTCCGGTACGAACACCCGTGCGTGAATGCAAACAATGCACGATGGATGGCTTACCCCGACAGATGCACTGGCATAATGAATGCCCACGACGCGCAAGCATTTCCGCCCTCTCCACCAAGCAGGGAAATGAGGAGGGCGACCTAGAGTTCATGTAATTCAGTTTGATGCCCTCATTAACGGGTAACCTGTCAGCGCTACACTTGATACCGGAGCTACGATTACCTGTATCAACGAAGCAGTGCTGAAGGCACTTCACCTGCAAATAATGAGGAATTAATGCATCTCAGTTCAACAAGTCACATCATCTACCAAAACTTTGGGTCGCGCTAATCTAAAGGTACAGATAGAAAAAGTGACAAGAGAAATTCAGGCTCATGTTCTACAAGGCATGAAGAGCAACTTACTTCTTGGCTTGGATAGTGCTTGCCTCTTTAACTTGTCGCTGGACCTTGACACTATGACTCTACGCCAAGGGAAAGACATCCTCCATTCTCGTACACAGAACCAAACCACGGTTAACAAGGGCGC